TGAATTTTTGTCTTGTGTGTAGGATTAGTATTATCGAAACTAACGCTTATGTTCCGTTCTTTTTGCTATGCTCATGAGGCTAGGGGCCTAAGGGGTATCGTTTTTCTGTGGTAATGGAGGCGGAGCTTTTTCCGCGGAAGATTCCTTTCAAGTTGAAGTAATTTGGGTATGCATTACACCTGGAATTTCAGTAATCTTTCAGATCCAATCTTCCTGAATATTGTTTGGGATGTGTTGAAGATCTTCCGAGGTCATTCTTCATGGAGAATTAAAGAAACCTTGTTTGTGAAAAGAAATTCTCTCGAAAACTGAGACATTTTTTGCTCGAAAGTGTAGCCACGTCCACTGGAGCAAGATCAGTTCTTTTGTCTGTTATGCCTTACTTTCTGTCTGCGTTTCTCTCAATGTTTTTCGCTTCATAGGAGTCTAATGAAAGGAAAAACCCTTAATGAGGAAGGAAAAACTCGAAAGAAAGTAAACAGAAAGTAAGACACAACAGACAAAAGAACTGATCTTGCTCCAGTGGACGTGGCTACACTTTCGAGCAAAAAATGTCTCAGTTTTCGAGAGAATTTCTTTTCACAAACAAGGTTTCTTTAATTCTCCATTGAAGAATGACCTCGGAAAATCTTCAACACATCCCAAACAATATCCATTGAAAGTTTAATTCTGAAAGAAGACTGGAATTCCGGGCACTGTTCGATGAAATTGAAATGTTTCCCCAAAATGCGAAGTTTTTAAATTGACCAAAAAGCAATGATGAACATCCAGAGCTCTTTGTTCCATAACCTACAGGATTCCAGAAAAGATTGTTAACCGTATTGGAGCTTTGACTCAATTTCTGCGCAATATGACTGCTTGACGATTCCTGTCCTTTTTTGCTACAGTTTACCTTTTTTCAAAGTCCAACTGTCTTTTTTTCTCTTGTGGGAACATTAAGGTGAAAGCCTGATAACTGCGAATCAGTTTCATGAAGCAAAAATGAATTTCAACGAAGAAACACGGGGTGGCTGTATCATTTTTGAACATAGGAAAATCGACCTCTTCTGAAAAAATAAGCACAAAATTTTTAGTGTTTTCGACATGGATTTTGTGTTGATATCTGAACTCGCCATGAAATTTGTCACATTTTCTATCTGGACAGTTTTTCAGAAACTCTATAAACTTTAAGTTTTCGAACAAATTTTAGGTGGCTGTATCATTATTGAACGCAGTGTATAAAACATAGGTTACGGTGTCTTCTCAAACCCCATTCCGCGTCAAGAAGCGCTCAGTTCACGGCCCACGCAGAAACGCTATCGAGCGTTTGTATTAGGAGCTGAAACACTTTCCAGCTATTCAGTTGTCAAAATGACTCAGTGACATAGGACTCGCTTTACTCTCTACAACCTCATAATGTATTCTTTACCAGCAACGCACGATTGCACCGTTGCATTCATATTCGTTTTAAAACAGATGAGGGAACTGACAAGTACTTTATTATCAGAGAAATGGTTTCCAAAAGCCAGCACTGTGGAAGTCCTGACTGACGGTGGCCTTCCAGTAGTTATTGGACAGCCCAATCACCTGCGGCCGATGTCAGACTTTGCGAATTGAGCGATTTGCTAATGTGCGATCGCGTCGAGGCCTGCGAGTCGCTCGATGGCAAGTTTGATTCCGATATCGCTACCCTAGTCGAACTGTTCCATGAGTAAGAACGGTCCTCGATGGAGTCACATGAATCACGCGAGGGCGCTAAGAGCGAGGGAAGTCGACAAGCAGAAGAAGAAGGCCGAAAAGGATGAAAAAATGAGGCCCACATCAAGGAACCCATTCCTTGATGTGGGCTTCATGAAAAAAAAAAGCTCGTAATCAAAGCACCGAATAACCCCTATCAAAAAGTTTAAACCATACAGTACCGTGCAGTGAAGTATTCGTTTTCACTTTTTTAAACGTAACTCCCTCAAAACTCAAGCTTTTGTTCCGATTTTTTGTAGGTGAGAACACATCACTCTACCTGATAAGGAAGCAAATCTTCAGTTGTCTAGGTGGCTTCTATACTAATTTAGA